AGGCGGGCCCCGCCCATCTGCAGGTGGCTGTAAACCCTGAGCTGCTCCAGGCGGGGGCCGGGCCCGGGGGCGGGGTCTGTGGCGCGCGTTCCCCCCACGTGTCCCCGGTCGCCGGCCCTGCCCCCCGGGCCCTGTGCTTATAACCTGGTATGCGCACCCCTGCCGGCCCTGCTCTGCCGCCTACCACCGCTGCCCGATCCCGGTAAGGAGCCCTCGGCCCCTCTCGCTGCCCACTTCCTAGCCTAGGGCACCCCCTTCCCGGGCCCAGCCGAGGAGGCGGAGGAGACGCGCGTTCCGGGGCCCGCGGAGGCAGAGGGCGGACCCCCGATCGCCACTCGCCCGGGAGTGGGACCCAGGCAGGAGGGAAGAGGCTCGCGATGCTCAGACGCCTGGCGTCGGATCCCAGGTTCCTGGAGCCTGGGTGACGCGGCGGGGGCGCGAGTCCCCGGGTCCGAGGAGCGGGTCTGGTTATTTGTTCCCTGCGCAGCCGGGTCCCTTCGGGACTCATTCGCGGATCCGGCTTCCTCTGTGTCGTGAAGCCCCCACATGGAGAACTGGGGAGTCCGGAGCGTGTGGGGGGGCTCCCGATTCTCTCTCCCTCTCTCCGACTCGCCGTCTGTCTCCACCTCTATTTCTCGGCGTAAAACCAGGATTCCAGCCCCTCTCGGGCTTGGACGTATCGCTTTCCCCGCAGCCTCAGTTTACCCTGGATAGATGGGCGTGGTGGCCCTGGCTCCCTTCCCTGCAGGGGGCTGCAGCCACCCGGCTCTCCCCGGTGGGGCTGGCTGTCTCCCGGCCTCGCGGCGGGTTTCCTGCTGGCCTGGGCTGGGCTCTGTGGGAGGGGCGGTGCCAGGAATATCCTCTATCCGGGCTGCTGTTGCCTTTGGCCCCTCGGCGACTGCCCCCTCCAGGGAGACAGGGTCATTGTGAAAGAGAGGAAACTCCTCTCCCAGTCCGCGGGGGCTGTTCCTGAGGAGGGCTGGCCTGGCCTCAGTAGTCTCTGAGAAGTGGAGAGTCCGCTTTCGAGCAGCTGGGTCAGGCTGCAGGTCTCAGGGCAGGAACAGACCTGTTCTCTCCCCAGGGGTAGATCAAGACCTAGGGGACCTGGGCTTTGATCCTCGGCTCCCAGCAAGCACACACCCGGTGATGGGGAGACCTGGTGAGGCCTTGGCTCAGCCTCCAGATTCCCAAGCTTCCCTTTCATTTTCGTTTCTTTCTAAAAATTTATCAGACATATGGACTCATCATGTCGCCCAGGCTGGCCTCGAGCTCCTGGGCTCAAGCGATCCTCCTCCCTCTGGCCTGCTAAAGAGCTGGGATTACAGGCTCCAGCCCCCCGAAGCGCCTGGCCCCCAAACTTCAGTCTGTTAGAGCTGGCTGGGGCTGAGGGCTCAGGAAACATGCAGATAGTGTGAGGCTGCTAAGGGCTCTGTATAGACTGTTGGGCGCTGGGCTTGGGTCCAATTACACAATAACTGTGCCTGGGGTTAGGTTCTGATGAGAAGGAGGGAGAAGCAGCCACACAGACTGGGAAGCTTGGCTAGGAGCAGGTACTGGAGGAGTCTCCATTCCAAACTCCCTCTCCCTCCCAGACTCCTTTGGCTCAGGGCCTGGGGCGGGGAGCTTGGGGGTGGGGGCGGGGCCCTGTCCTGGAGGGGCCATCTGTGCACCATGCTGAGAAGTAATTCTGGTTCTGCTCTGTGTGGGTGGATCAAGTGAATGAATAGTGACTCCTGCCTGCTGAGCGCCTGGGCAGGGCCAGGCACGTGGTAAGAGGGAAGGGGAGGCCCCACTCTCAGCACAGTCTCCTTGCTTGGGAAGCAGGCCCAGGGCCCCAGGAGCTTTGGGGTGGAGCCAGGTCCAGAACTGCCTGCTGCACTCGTGCTTCCCCCTCCCAACCCGGGCCCATCTCATCTTTGGCCCGTGGGTGCTGGAAGGCCAGCCAGGTCAACCAGATGCCTCATTTGAGCACTGACTACACAGCCCCCGAAGTCAGTGGTTTGCCTGTGGGCACCGGGCACCCATGTGGAAAGAGGTAACTTCTCTGGAATTCAGAGTCTAAGGCTCTGTTTTCTGATGTAGCTTTGGGCAAAGTTGATCTTCCAGGGCGTGGCCCCCTCCCCAGAACTGGGGGAGACCAGGCACCCACAGGCACTCTGATATGAGTTGAGTGAATGAAGAATGTGCCCTTCCTCCATCACCAAAGACAAACCGAGCTCAGCCGAGTTAGAATGTCAGAGAGGGGTTGCAGGGGAACCTTCCACCAGGCAGCAGGCCTGAGCTGTAGTACACAGGCTCTCCAGAGGAATAGTGGGCAGGTTGACCATGACCCACTGGGGGACTGGTTTTCTGGAAGGTGTGTAGAGCAAAGGGGAGAAAATGTGAGGTCTCCTAGGAGCCAGGGAGAGAAGGGCAGAGTGCAGGGAAGAGCAAGTGGCCTGCAGTCAGGCTGGGTTTGAAGCCACTAGCCTGTGACCTCGGCGAGCCGCTTAGCCTCTGCCTCTGCCTCTGTAAATAGGTGGCAATGGTAGTCTCCACCTTAAGATGATGCACCTGTGACTCTGAACATAGTAGCTGCTCTTGTTGTCATTCCAGCTCTGACGTTTTCAAGTAGCACGAGTTTTCCTTAGTGTCAAGCGGGCGCCCAGGCTGGCCTGTTTGCTGGAAGCTGAACAGATGGCTGTGGCTGGGGCCACAGAGAACGCCATCCCAGTGAAAGCCAGGTGGCCCTGGTACCTTGATGCAAGGCCACCTTCCCTTTTGGTCTCTTCTGGTGAAGGAGGGCTGGAGGGCAGTGGGCATTTGCCAAGGAGCTGGAAAAACCTGCTGTGGCCGTTTCTGGGGGATGTGGTGGGGGTGGAGCTGGGACTAGGGGAGGCTGAACTCAGCCAGGATCTGCCTGCCAGGCGCAGCTCCCAGGAAGAAAGTTCAGCGTCCGGGAGGGTCAGAACCCAGAGGGCTGTTAGGTTGTACAGATGGGGAAATTGACGCTTAGCAAGCCGGGAACTTGGCTGAGGTCAGCCATGGCAGCGGTGCACAGAGCTTAGTGGACACATGCTTTGGTGCCCAGCTCTGGGCTCCTTCCCCCAGCATCTCACCAAATCCTTACAGTTGCCCTGTGGGGAGCAGGCTGTTCGAACCCCCATTTCGCAGCTGAGCAGTTATGCTAGAGAGCTGGAGCCACTCAAACCCATGTCTGGTGGACTTGACCTGTGTGCCGTGCCTGGCGTGAGCACTCACTGGATTGCAGCTGCCATTCCTTCTCTCCCTGTCACTTCCTCCCTGACAGCAAGCCCTCAGTTTTTGCCTCGGGCTGCAAATGCAGCTTTAGGGACCTGCTGAGGCTGAGGGAAGAGGGTGCCCCACCCGCTGCTGGGAGGGCAGGAGCAACGCTGCTGTCTGATTACATCATTTTCCCAAGTCCATCTGCCCAGCTCATTTCTCTGCATGCATACACAGGCCCCAACACCCACACACATGTGCATGCACACAGGCACACATGTGCAAGCCCAAACACATTACAAACATGCATGCAAGCACACACATTGTGTACTCTCAGGTACACACCCCTGGGTGAGTACACACACACACACACACTCTGTCTCAGGTACACACGCCAAGTCCATGCATTGCTTCACCATGCCCAGCCCCAGAGGCTGAGGGCCTCAGAGCCCACATCTGCCCAGATACAGCCTGGCAGGCAGGAGGGGCTCACTGGTTTCGTTTTGTTTATTTAAGACAGAGTTTCACTCTGTCACCCAGGCTGGAGTGTGGTGGCACGATCTTGGCTCACTGCAACCTTTACCTCCCGGGTTCAAGTGATTCTTATACCTCAGCCTCCCGAGTAGCTGGGACTACGGGTGCATGCCACCACACTCAGCTAATTTTTGTATTTTTAGTAGAAATGGGGTTTTGCCATGTTGGCCAGGCTGGTCTGGAACTCCTGATCTCAAGTGATGCACCCACCTCGGCCGTCCAAAGTGCTACGATTACAGGCGTGAGCCACTGTGCTCGGCCATGAGAGCATGTGTAGGACTCCACAGCTTCGGGGCACCCCAGCCGTCTCTTTGCAGTGAGGAGCTGACCTCCAGAGAGTGGAACTAACAGCATTGTTCTAAGTGCCTGCCACAGGCATCTGGGAGATGGTCCCTGTTTCCATGGAGCTCATAGTGGGGGAGAGGGCAGTTAGAATACAGCATGATGGCCGGATGTGGTGGCCCATGCCTGGAATCCCAGCACTTTGAGAGGCTGAGGCAGGCAGATCACTTGAGTCCAGGAGTTCAAGACTAGCCTGGGCAATGTGGTGAAACCTGATCTCTACAAAAAATACAAAAATGAGGCAGGTGTGGTGGCATGTGCCTGTAGTCTCAGCTACTTGGGGCTAGTGGCACTGAGCTGGGGTGGAAGGATCCCTTGAGCCCAGGAGGTCGAGGCTGTGGTGAGCTGAGATTGCATCACTGCACTCCAGCCTAGGTGACAGAATGAGACCCTGTCTGGAAAAAAAAAAAAAAAAGAAAGAAAGAAAAAGGAAGGAGGATAGAGCTCTGATAGGCAGGAGGCATGGCGGGTCACTGAGGCGATGCAGCTATTTCTGCAGAGCTGCCGCTCCCTGTGCCTACCCTCTTGGCTCCAGGTGCCTCTGGGAGGGGGCAGGAGCAGGGGTGACTCTCAGAACTGGGTGAATCTTGGGCCAGCATCATCAGATCACACTTGCCCAGGACTTCCCTTCTTTGAGTCTCCCCGAGAGGGATGGTGGTCTTGTACCTGCGAGCAGTGGGTTAAGGAGCTGAGCCGATGTGAGTTTGAGTCCTGGCTCAAACAAGATGCAGGGCAAAGTTCCTTAGCCCAAGCCTCAGTTTTCCTGCCTCTAAAATGAAGAGAATCCCAAATGGAAGGGGTCGGCCTAAGACGGACATGTCCATTCCCTTGATTGTGGAGTTGGTGTCACAGGCGCATCTGCAGGCCGAAACTTGCTAAATTGGACACCAAAAACTATTCGATTAGTTTTGTAGCTCATGAGTGTGCTGATGGGCTATTCTCGTGTGTTTGCGAGGTACCACCCTCAAACTTTGTTATGATGTTGGCTCATTACCCATCTGATATTAAAAAAAATGCAATTTATGATCTGTCAAGTAGACCTCAATAGAGCTGTTTTACGACATACAACAGAATTTCTCCCAACCCAACCACACCACCCACGCCATCACACACAAACAGGGATAGGCTTCCACGCATTTCCTGAATGCCTTCTGGGGCAGGGGGCAGGGGGCAGGGGGCAGGAGGCAGGACAGGTGGCTCTGGGGCTCCTGGGCTTCCCCTGCTCAGTGAGGCTGTTCACAGGACATAAGGTTTAAGGCCTCTGGGATGGCCCGGGCCGCCTGCAGGCAGCTGAGTAGCTTTGCTTTTGCACAGTGGTTCACTGCACCGTGAAGACAGATTCCAGACGCCAGGAACTCACGCCTCCAATCCCAGGTACTGCCCACCTTAAGCCCTCCCTGCCTCCCTTCCTCCCTCCTTCCCTCCATCCTGCATGGCCAATTGCCTGGCTGCAGTTGCCATGGATACCACCTGCTGGCTCCAGGGTCAGGGCCTGCTGAGTCACCAGGAACTCGGGGGCAGGGGCTTGAATGCCCAGTAGGGACGTTGTGGGCACCCACCAGAACCACCTCCTCTGCCCCAGCTGCGTGGCCCGTGAGGTGTTTCCCCTTCTAAGTCCAAAGGGCAGCACAGGCCTGTGAGCCCCGGCTGACTGGCGGGTGGGACCGCGCAACATGACAGGACTGAATACTCATGTGACAGGGCTCCAAAGTCCACCTGGCTACACGGCTGCGCTCTGCGGCACAGGCCGGGAGGCCTGGGAGAGCCACTTCCTCTCCCCGAGCTTCCAGGCACACGGACAGTGCTCAGGATAGCGATGCCTGCATCACTGCAATGGTGATGGCCGGGTGACCCTTCGGGGCTCCACTTCCCCAATAGTGTCTAATAAAGACCCTGGGTGACACTGACCTTGTGACGTTGGTCGGACTCAGGTGGAAACATTCCCAGGCAGAGCAAACATGCCCTGTCCATTCAGGAAATGTGGGATGCTAGGGCCAGGTGTCCGCAGAGGCTGGAACCCGGAGGCCTGGGCCCACATCTGCCCCTGCTGCTTGTTGATCGGATGGCCTAGGGCACGTGACCTCGTCTCTCCAACCCTGGTTTCCTGTTCAGCAAATTGGACACAGTAAGGGCACCCAAGCCCAGGGCCACAGGAGGCATGTGGGGGAGGCAGAGTGAGCCCAAGGGCAGCCCAGGATTCAGGGAGAGCCCTCGGGGAAGAAGCATGGCTGTAAAGACCAGGAGACAGGAGGCCGTGGTGCCTTCAGGACGCTACATTGTGGCGGAGGGTGGGGCAGGATGGGAGACCGCAGGCGCTTCCCGGCTGCAGAGGGCTTGCTCACCCATCTGTCCCCCTCCCGGGAAGGGCCGCTGGTTGCAGAGGTTTTAGGCCTCTGCCTATCTATCGCCTTCCCTCCCTGGGCCTCAGTTTCTCTACCTGCACATTGGGGGAGTTGGTCTCTGAGTCCCTCCAAACTGGGCATTGGCAGAGTTGAATTCAGAGGTGCTCACATTTAGAGAGACACCATGTCTAAAATTCCAACCAGCGAAGGTTCCATGGGGCTCCAGGTAGGAGAGGCACTGGGGCTGGGCACCTGCCCCATAGCATCCTGCTCCACCTGCAGGTGGGTGTCGGCACTGCACACTGGGGAAGCACGGATTCGTGTGTGCTGTGTGACCCTGAGCCTGCCACTGACCTCTCTGAGCCTTGCTGTCTGCCTCTCCAGTAGGGATGACGACTCCTACTTCATGGGGTTGTACTGGGGGCTCAGGGGCACAGGGAGATCCAGCTGAGGCTCCCAGGGCCCTGCCAGTGCTTGGCAAGGAGCAGTTCTGATGGGGGATGTGTCAGCTGCCAGAGGCTCAGAGCCAAGGCCCCTCCCATATCTCCTGCCTGAGTGCATTCTTCACATCCTGGCCTTGGGCCAAACTGCTCAGCCTCAGCCGCCTTACCTCCCTGCTGGGGGATCAGGTCCAAGAGATGCCTCTACCCGGCCAGCCTAGGACAGCAGTCAGCATTCCCAGGCCCCAGCGTGGTCCGTGGGGGTGTGTGCAGACTGCGAGGTCAGGGTCCCTGGGGGTGGCAGGCGCTGAAGGTGAACATCCTGTTCCCGACCTCCAGTGGCAGCTTGCCTGGGAGACAAGGCTGTCCAGGGCCAAGGCTGAGGCGGGGCCATCTGCAGGGGCTGGCGGGGGGCACTGGCTGTCTCAGGGTCACTCAGGTTCTTCCTCGACTCCCGCCAGACACTATGTCCAGCAAAGGCTCCGTGGTTCTGGCCTACAGTGGCGGCCTGGACACCTCGTGCATCCTCGTGTGGCTGAAGGAACAAGGCTACGACGTCATTGCCTATCTGGTGAGGGAGCGACCTGGGTGTCTGTCTTCCTGCATGTCCCGCAGCTTGTCCTGTCCGCCCCCTGCCAGCCTCTGTCCGGGTTGTCAGCCTGTCTGCTCACCGTCACTCAATCAAGCCTGGCCTCTTCTCTCTAAGCCAGTCTTGAACTGGAACTAGGAAAATAGCTTCTCATTGTACTGCCTCACTTCCTCTATATGCAAATTGGCCATCCTTGAGATGCCTTCCAGAGCCAGGTGATGGGGGCGCGGGGAGGGCACAGCAGTGACCTTGGCAGTGCTGCTGGTCCGCCTGCTTGCAGAGAGACGGTGGGCTGGGACCTGCTACCAGCCCTGGGAAGGCACACAGTCTTCCCATCTCCAGAGTACGCTATCAGCCTGCAATAATTCCGCAAAGATTGTGGAAACCCGAGCTGGAAGGACGCTGGGGGTCACCTGGTTCTGGGATGGGAAATAGGTCACGGGTAATGGGTTATGCGTGATGCCACTTCCCCATCCAGGGCCCATAGGAGTCATCCCTTGCAAACCAGCTCCTCTCCGACTGAACCTGACCACAGCTGTGAGTCCTCTGTGTGGCTGTGCTAGTCAGGACTGTTGGGTGTAAATTTTAGAAACTCAACTCAAACCAACTTACGTGAAAAGGAAAGGGAAAAGACAATTCTTGGCTCACATAACTGAGAAGTCCAGGGATAGGATGGCTTCAGGTAGGGCTGGATCCAGGTGCTTCTAAGATCTGTCCCCAACTCTACTTGGCTTCATTCTTGGCCTCTCCACAGGGCAGGCAAGGCTCATGGTCACCCTCATAGCCCACCTTTCCCAAAAAGGAGGGCTTACCACCAGTAGGGCCCATGGGAACCCACCGTGCATTAGTCACTATGACTGCATCATGGGGTGCGAGACTTGGGCCATGAGCCTGCTCCTACAGTGGGCAGGATGTGTTCCTCTCCATCCCTGTGGAATGGGGTCCACCCAGGAAAGAAGGTTCTGTTTCCAGAGGAAGTGAGGCTGGGTCTCTGGACAGACAAAACTTAGCTCTTGCCAAAAGTGATTTGTTTGCTGGCATATCGGCGTGTCTCACCACACTTAATGCCCTTGTCATTCAGGTTGGGGAAAGTGAGCAGGGGAAGAAATACTTTGCTCACAGTCACCTGGTGGGTGAGACCACAGCTTTGAGGGGCTGCAAAGAGCCCAGGTGTATCCATCTCACTGTAGGCAGCACAGCGGGGCAATCTGAGCAGGAGCTGGCCGTATAGAGCCCTGGGCTACCACCTGGGCGATTTAAAAGCTGAATGTGATTCAGAGAAGCACCTGCAGCTGGGCTTTGGCAACATTCCAGTGTCTGGTGAGCAGAATAAAGGGCGCGAGGGCTGAGGCCAGGATCTGGGCAGCAGGCCAGAGTCCAGGCAGGAGGAAGCATGGCAGTGTCTAGACAGGGGCCGTCGGACCCCGAGGTCAGGGCACCGGCCGCAGGGACAGAGCTGGAAGTTCCTGAGCACGGGCTTCTCTGCCTCCCGCCTCTTCAGCTGCCTTAGGATGGCCCAGTCTTTGACTGGGGAGGAGAGCTGGAGGCTAGGAAGGCCCTGACAAGCTAATCTTTGCACTGGCCGAGAAAGAGTTTTCTGGAAAACACAGATGAGTTTCAGGAGAACCCTAGACTTTTCCAGCAACGACTGCAGCCTATGTGGCCAGGGCCAGGCTCAGCCAGTGCTCCAACCCACGGAAGCCACCGGCCAGCGCCACGTTGCAATCCAGCTACCTGTCTCACCTCCTGGAAGAATCTCACCTCTCCAAGCCTTGGACTTTGTGCTTTTTCCTTCTTACTGTGACTTGGCCATGGAATGGAAGCTTTTTCTGTAGCAGGGGATGGGTGGGGGGCTGCTGTATGTGGACGGTGCGAACCCAGGGCTCCCCGCAGCGGCTGACAGGGCCTCTCTGCTTCTGCTCCTCAGGCCAACATTGGCCAGAAGGAAGACTTCGAGGAAGCCAGGAAGAAGGCACTGAAGCTTGGGGCCAAAAAGGTACCAGGCGGGAGGCAGGGGTTTGGGCTGGGAGTGGGGCGGTGATGTGGAGGGGCAGTGGTGGATGCTCCTGCCCCAGGGATCCCATCCCTTCCAATGTGTCTTCTTGCTTCTAAGAGTGTGAGATCTGCTCTCAGGTGTGTGAATACTCTTGTTTTTCTGCCTCCCCCAGGCCCCCTTCCACCCACTCACCTTCCCATGCAGGTGGAGTGTCTCTTCCCCACCCACCTACCTTCTCTTCTCTTTTATCTCTCTGTCCATCTATGCACCCACTCACCCTCTTTTATCTCTGTTTATCCACTCATCCACATATCCATCCATCATTCATCCCTCCATTAGCTATCCATCCATCATCCATCCATCCATCATCCATCTACCCATTCATCATCCATTCATTCATCCATTATTCATCATACATCGTTCATCCATCCATTACCCATCCATCCATCCACCCAGCCATCCATCACCCATCCATCACCCATCCATCCATTCACCCATCAACCATCCATCCATCCATCCATCATCCATCCATTCACCCATCAACCATCCATCCATCCATCCATCATCCATCCACCTATCCATCCATCACCTATCCACCCATCCACCCATCCATCATCCATCCATCCATTCATCCATC